CCTCCTCCTCCTCCTCCTCCTCCTCCTCCTCCCCCTCTTCCTCCTACTCCTCCTCCTCCACCTCCGCCTCTCGTCCTCCTCCCCCTCCCCGATCCCCGTCCGCGTTCTTCTCCTCCTCCTCCTCATCATCCTTCTCCTCCTCCTCATCATCATCATCATCATCCTCCTCCGGTCGAGACCCAGAGCTATAACATAAACACATAGCCGAGGGCAGATCCAATCCACGCCATCGAAACACACGTGAAGAAAAACCTCCGACACCATCCTCATTCTCCTGCTCCTCCTCCTCCTCCTCCTCCTCCTCCCTTCATCCTCCTCCTCCTCTTCCTCCTCTTCCCTTCATCCTCCTCCTCCGCCTCCTCGTCCTCCTCTTAATCCTCCTCCTCCTCCTCCTCCTCCTCGTCCTCCTCCTCCTCGTCCTCAGCGCCGCGCACATTCGTTTTATATCGGAGGTTGGGGGGTGAGATCGCAGTGGAACGGAGACCCCCCACCGGGAAATCGGTTTCGGTTTCGTGTTCATGTCGCGCGTGCGGGCGAGGCGAAGCTGCACGTGTTCTTCTTGTAGCTAGGCCGAAGTAGGAGCGAAAGTCCGTTCCCGTCCGCCGGTGGCTGGGAGGTGCCCCAGTTGGGCCGGGCGGTGTCCTGGGTGTCCCAGGTGTCAGGAGCGAAAATCCGTTTCCCCTCCGCCGGTGGCCGGGGGGTGTCCCAAATGGGCCGGGCGGTGTCCCGGGTATCCCGGGTGTCCCGGGCGTCCCAGCGCTAACGCATGTCGCTAATTTCATAATTCGTTTTTTTTCGGCGCCTGCGGCGGGCTTTCTTATCCAATCCAGCTTATCTTATCCAATCCATATTGTCCAATCCAATCTATATTATGTTATCCTACCCATATTGTCCCATCTTATCTTATCCCACCCAATCCAATCCACCCAACCCAATCCATCAATTCATTTGTTTCTGCGCCTGCGGCGAGCCAATCCAATCCATCTTATCTTATCCATTTCTTCCAATCCAACCCATCTTATCTTATCCAATCCTTTTTATCCCATCCAATCCAATCCACCAAACCCAATCCATCATTTTTTTGTGTCGGCGCCTGCGGCGGGTTTTCTTATCCCATCCAGCTTATCATATCCAATTCATGGTGTCAAATCCAATGCATCTTGTCCAATTCAAACCATCAACAGGCTGGAGGTCAGTCAGGGTGGGCATTTGATCTCAATCCCCACCAACCCCCTTATCGCCCGCAGGGCGGTCGTATATATATATATATATATATATCGGAAGTTGGCGGTGAGATCGCAGTGAAACGGAGACTCCCCACCGGGAAATCGGATTCGGTTTCGTGTTCGTGTCGCGCGTGCGGGGAAGTCGAAACTGCGCGTGTTCTTCTTGTAGCTAGGCCGAAGTAAGAGCGAAAATCCGTTCCCGTCCGCCCGTGGCTGGGAGGTGCCCCAGTTGGGCCGGGCGGTGTCCCGGGTGTCCCAGGTGTCAGTAGGAGCGAAAATCCGTTTCCCGTCCGCCGGTGGCCGGGGGGTGTCCCAAATGGGCCGGGCGGTGTCCAGGGTGTCCCGGGTGTCCCGGGCGTCTCGGCGCTAACGCACGTCGCTAATTTCATCATTCATTTTGTTTAGGCGCCTGCGGCGGGCTTTCTTATCCAATCCAGTTTATCTTATCCAATCCATCTTGCCCAATCCAATCCATACTATAGTATCCAACCCATGTTGTCCCATCTTATCGTATTCCGCCCAATCCAATCCACTCAACCCAATCCATGCGGCGGGCCAATCCAATCCATCTTATCTTATCCAATCCATTTCTTCCAATTCAACCCATCTTGTCAGATCAAATCCATCTTATCCCATCCAATCCAATCCACCCAACCAATCCCATCAATTAATGTTTGTCGGCGCCTGAGGCGGACTTTCTTATCAAACCCAGCTCATCTTATCCAACCCATCTTGTCCAATCCAATCCGTCTTATATTATCCAACCCAAATAGTCCCATGTTATTTTATCCCACCCACTCCAATCCATCCAACCCAATCCATCAATTCATTTGTTTATGCGCCTGAGGCGGGCCAAGCCAATCCATCTTATCTTCTCCAATCGTTTTTCGGCGCCTGCGGCGGGCTTTCTCATTTTGCTTTTGAGGTCGATAGTGAGAAGTGAGGCTCTCCGATAGGTCGGTCGACGGATAGGTAGATAGTGGGATCTCATCGCCATCGCGATCATCATTGTGGTGGAGGGATTTTGATAGAGAGGGAGAGAGAGAGAGAGAGGGCGAGAGAGAGAAAGAGACAGAGGGAGAGAGAAAGAGAGAGAGACAGAGAGAAAGAAAGAGATGAGATCAAGGTGACAGGCTGGAGGTCAGTCAGGGTGGGCATTCGATCTCAATCCCCCCCAACCTCCTTATCGCCCGCAGGGCGGTCGTATAGGTGTGTATATATAAATGTATGAATAGATATATATATATAGCAAAACAACACAACACAACATAAAA